GTTAATTGAAAGTTTAAGTTTTTGGGATTAACTTAAGGTAAGGTATAATATATAATAATAGTAAATATATTTTAAGGTTAATTGACTTCTAATAGGAGTAATGATAATGAATGGGAGGTTAAGTGTAACCATTAGATAGCATTTTGTGGTGGCGTTCACTATAAGGGGAGTGAATTGTAAGTAAGAAACAGTTATATCACATACAGTGCATACAGAGTGGCAGAAGCAGTGCCTATGCTTTGCTATCACTGCTATCACTGCCTACCAGTGCTGGCGATCATATGTTTGTGTTTGTGTTTGTGTTGAGTTCACTAAACCTATCGCTTATATTATGTGCGAAAGACATGAATATCACTATTAATAAGAGTTTCATGAGTTGTAACCAAATTGAGGCCAATTATAGCTATTATAGCGGTTATGATTCCGTACACCACTTGTATGCGATTCAATCGATCCCTCCGTCGGCCACAACACGTCCTCCTCGTCGACAGCCATACATCACAACCCAATCACTTCCAGTGGACACTTGTCCCACACCAACACTCACCCAATCAGGTATTGTATGTATGCGATTCAATCGATCCCTCCGTCGGCCACAACACGTCCTCCTCGTCGACAGCCATACATCACAACCCAATCACTTCCAGTGGACACTTGTCCCACACCAACACTCACCCAATCAGGTATTGTCCAAACTGTTACCAATCAATACTACCGTCATAACCATTATAAACATGATAACCATCATAACCATGCTCATCTCATTACACGAACATTGTCATTTGAACATTATCAATTTGTTATTATTGCTATAACTGTAAATACAAATTGATATTCAATTATTTTAACAATATAAGTTACAATGTATCTATAAAATATTATTACACATATACTATTTCATTGCCAATTCTTTACTTAATTAATATTAATATTATTGAAAGTATTAAGTAATTAATATAAATTTTAGTAATATTTAATAATACTTAATAATAATGTTATAGTGTAAAAATATACAATCATCTCAAGACATGTTATTATATGGCAGAAAATTTTTAAAAATGTTGTTTTTATGAAAAGCAATAATAAATATTTTGTTATAGAGATTCTGTGAAAATGTTTTGCAATGAGATTTATTTGTAATTAATTTGCTATTAATATAATAATGATAATGTTTTTTGCATTAATTATGTATAATGTGTTTACAATTATAACAGGAATCGACTTTCATTAGAGTTCACTCACAAGACGACCAAACTCTGTGTTTCTCTTGGATTTTAGGTAACCATTTATGTCTAAATATTTCAATAATAAATATCATTCACATATCGTATGTAAATTAATTGAGATATAATTAAATAATGGTTAGCAATACTGTTTGCACAATTAGATTACTGTGTGTTACATAAGACATGAAATATACAATGAGGAAAAGTTTTAAAGAATTACTCAATTCCTTCACTCGTTTGGCATTTAAACGAAATTTAAATACAGTTTAAAATGCATTATATTTATATTTATAACAACACTTATCGCTCTAATTCTTGAAAATCTAATTCACGATTATAGCGATGTATAGCGAGAATCAAAACGATTCCGTTATTTATTATTAGCGAAAAAATGTCTTAAAACTAATTGTATGAAAGAATGTGTGTTTTGGATGTGAATGTCGGTCATCGGAATCCAAAGATATCTAATATACTTAATGAAATCCAAGCCATATATAAATATTTAATATTTTATATATAAGTATAGAGTGCTTCTCGATTGACTCATATTTAGTGTTATTTATATAGACTACCGACTGATAGAGCGATGCAATTATGTGTATAATATATAGTAAATGAGAGAAAATACAATTAGTGGACATTATATGAAAACAGTAATTGTATTCCGCTTTCAGATACACATCAGGCATCAGTTGATCAATCACTGGATTTAAATGCAGGCATTGGTTCCGGCGATAGACATGCTATACAATGCAGTGAGTTCTTCCACTTTACTTCGCTTTAAACACAATCATTTCAATACATTATATCTCTTGTATTGAATGAAAAGTACCGGAACTCCATTCGCCTAAAGACGGCGAAGACGATGACATACAAGACGAGGACATCTCGATCGACGAGAATCGGGGATATCTTCTAATAACATTACGGCGCCGTAAAAGTATCCAACGAAGCATTCATATCGATCCCATCGCTCTTCTCGACCACAGCTATTATGGCATTACATCTCGTTATTTGAAACAGTCATCGAAGTGGCGCTTCAATACATTTACTCTCGATGTCCTCACTGGTGGTCATTCCCTCTCGAGTCTACTCTTTCACCTTTTTGTTGAATACGATTTTATCAGGATTTTTAAATTGGATGTCATAAACGTTTTGCGCTGTTTTCGTAAGTCATCCCTTCCTAACAAAAACCCAATTATATATAACTAATCCCAAAAGCATTTGACGACAAAACTGAACAAAAAATTGTATTCTTTCTTTTAATGACATCAATCGATAGGCTTTTTGGAATCAGGTATTAGTCGTGTCTCTATTGACACAATTGCTATCATCGGTTAGTCTCAATGTTTTATACAAATTTATGTCTCAAAACAATTGTCAGGATATCACGACACCAATCCTTACCACAACTCAGTCCACGCCGCAGACGTCACTCAAGCCATGCATTGTTTCATACAAGAGCCCAAAATACGCCAATTTCTTACTCCTTTAGAGGTCATGTGTGCCCTATTGGCTGCCGTTTCTCATGATTTAGATCATCCGGGAGTTAACCAACATTTTCTCATTGCAACCAAAAGCCATTTGGCAGCCCTTTATAAAGTGAGTTTACTATAAAAAAAACTTAATACCTATTCATCGCTTTTTGCACTTTTTGCACAACATATTCACACCTAATATAGCATTGCATAACATTTACACACGAGTATAATATTAAAAGCAAATACAAATTCAATGTAAATACTTATACAAAAGGTATTGACTTTTTAAATCATTCGCAAATGTAGAGCACAGACATGCAGACAGACATACTATGTATATCATACTGAAGTAGCGCTTGTCCTATGCTTTTGGTGGACATTGCGTTGCATAAGAATCTATCATTTATTTGCAAAGCAATTACGATATTAAACATTTGAATATAAAATACATTAGAATTTTCATTCAAACAATTTAGATATTATATGTGTTGAAATCCATTCTCGAGTTTTTTGTTGTTGTAAACTTTTAGGTTTATTTGATTCACTAAAAGTATATTTTTCACTTTAAAAACCAAAAATTCGTATAAATATTGCAATATTTGTTATTCACAGTAAATTTATTTTAGAAAATTTGTAATAATTTTTATTGAAAGCATTTGATAAAAAGATTTTTTAGCATAAATTCTAACAAAGGTTTACATAATTTTAATTTTTTCGATTTGTATAATATATTGCTTTAAGCTTTTAAGTCATGAAATAGTTTTGACTTGTATTTGCTTTACTCTTATTATTAATAATTTATTATTTCTTTTATTAAGCTTTTTATATGCATTTTATTGAATTCTGTACAGACTTTATATGCAAACAGTTATTAGTTTCGTTTCATTTCAAATATTATAAAACCTAGATTTGCAACAAAGGTAGTGATGAAAAGCTTTTTATTTCATGTCACAAAACACAGCACAGAATTTTGTGCTTATGTTTTAAACGCGAGCTTTTATTTCCTGTAATGTAATTAAAAGGATGAATGGGATTGTGATCAATGATCGGGGCATGTGTTCACTCCCACTAATGATTTGATTATGAATAGACATTTCGTTGCACAGTCTTTGTCGCACATCTTTACCATCAGTTTTATCCTTTTATCGCAATTCATAATAATGTCTTTGATTAACACATCTTGTAATCTATTTAATAAAATATTATTTATTATTCTCTGTTAGTATAGGATTATAATATAATATAATATTATTGCTTAAAATGTCAAAAGTCTTGTTTACTCAAAATTTAATGCAACGAATTATTTGTTCTTAATTGCATTTGAGAATTAACATGGACCAATCATTTTATAATACAGTATAGTGTGTAACCAATTTTTAGTTTTTGATCTTATTTATGACATATTGAGAATTAATTCTTTAATTTATAATATAATTACAGAATTATAACTTTTAGTTTAATTACTATAGTTTGTTATTGTTAAAATTAACAGGCATATTCATACAGTATATGTATTTTAATTTAAAATAAAACTATGATAAATTTATGGTTTCATTTAATTAAAAGACTTTAACATTAGTTTTACTAATAAATGCATTAAGGACAAGATTTATTGCCAACACTTTTGACTAAAATTTTCCTAATTATAGAGTATTTCAAATGAGCATAAAATGAGATTCTGTGTTTGAAAAAATAATTTGCAATTTATTAATGTCCGAAAATGTTGAGCTCAACGCATAGGATTTGCATGATTTTCACATTCATTATATTTATTTATTAACAAATTATGCGCTTAAAAGTTATAAAATTAATGCACAGTAAATGGAAACTTGTATTTCTATCATTCATTATAGTTATTATGTATGCACTCGTCTTGCTATACAGTGCACTATAATATACAACAAGTGATAAAAGCTTTTGTTTTTCTTTAATGAAGACACTAAATATTCCAGCGATCGACCCCTCAGAGCACCCGCCGTACCGAATGCGCCGCCCGTTCTCTTATTAGCACCGTTTGTGTGTATGTTATTCGCCGAATGTCGGGCCGCTCTGTCGGCCGGAAACGACGATCTCCTTTGTTGGTCCTGAGACGAGGCCACCGCCCCGTGAAGGAAGACTAACGCCGCCGCCAATTCACAACTCGCATACACACCTATACATCCCGGAGCTGATCCCCGGCGACCAATCATATGCTTCTAAAATTTGATCGTATTTTTCAAGTTATTGTTTTAATTTTAAATTGTAAGATAGATATTAAAATTGTTGTTATTTGTAAAAACCCATTGAATACTTTTAGGAATGTATGAATAAAATGGTAAAACTTTATACTAAATTATACTTTTCTATACATTAGAGGTGAACTAATGCTTCGTTTTGTCTACTTTTGTGTACATTCTAAACGATTTTAAGAGTGGAGTCAATGGTTTGTGTAATATTAATAGACAATTTCTATGCAGTACTATATATAATAAAAGATATTATTATATTTTCTATTTTACGGTATATTATAAAAATATAGCTATTATTAGAATTATNACTAATGCTTCGTTTTGTCTACTTTTGTGTACATTCTAAACGATTTTAAGAGTGGAGTCAATGGTTTGTGTAATATTAATAGACAATTTCTATGCAGTACTATATATAATAAAAGATATTATTATATTTTCTATTTTACGGTATATTATAAAAATATAGCTATTATTAGAATTATTACAATAAAAATAATTAACATTTTGGGCGCAAATTCTATGTATTTTTCTCATTCAGTTTTAATAATTAAATTTTTATTTGTTATAAATAATGTCAAAAAATGCATTCTTTGAATATGTCTTTGATTTTTTTGTGTTCAAAGAATGATTACATTAATGAATACCTTATCGTAAAAGTATGATCCGTGCGATGGTTGGGATGGCATTTGAAAAGAGTAACTCTTAATATTAGGCGTAATGCTCTGATAGGCGTAGTGTTGGACACGATCTTCTTCTTCTTCCTCTTCTTCATCGGTTTGTATATCCCATAAAACTTTTGATTTATTATTAGTTTTATTGTTAGACTCGTCGGCGTTGGGCGGAGTCCCGCAACCATTAATGCATTGTTTGGCTTTGGGTTTATAGAGACTCTTAAATTGAGTTAAACTCATTTCATTCACATCTTTGATATCATTCAAAGAATGGCTTCTTTTCATGGATTCATCGCTTTGTTTGGCAGTGAAGACACACTCGAGAGAGTGTCTGCGCTTTAGTTTGGTTTTGATGAGTGAATGGTTCCACTGGTTATCATTGAAACGAAGATTATTAATGAGTTGTCGTGAGAGCGGAGAGCATAGAAATTGGTCCCACAAATCAAACAATGGGGTGACAATACTCTTGAAAAAGTCTGAAAACAAACCATTCATTTCAAACATTTAATCACTTTTTTATTTTGTTATAAATTCTCCTCATTTAACAGATATAAGCCGTGAATATACATGAATGACAAGAATATCTTAATTAAAAATGTATTATAAACCTGAAGGCAAATATTGAATCAATAATCCAAGTTTTATGCAAAGTTCTGGCTTATGAATGGATTCGGGGCTTATAAGTGCTAATTAGGGTATACTATATGTGATTATAAGAAAGATGGTAAAGACAACAGACCTGTTTGTATGCGTGCGATGCCAGTGGTGTGTCGGTTACATATGGGGGTAACCGGGATATTGAGTTGACTTTCATAATCTCCTTGCCTATAGAATTCATTACAGATCTGTTCACTCCATCGCTTACTTAAATCCCAGGGCCGACAAGGATTTGCCAGATCTGCACACTTGAGGGCAATTTGTAATATAAAGTGTCGATTCTCTGGTACTGTCATTGAAAACGATTCCGGGTTTGATAAATAGTGTTTAAGAAGAGCGATGTAATGACTTTGTCGAGTGATATCTGTGGCCAGTATTAGTGCCTTCAGTTGTGACTCGATTTGTATCCATTCGTCGGCCGATAAATGTTCAAAGATTTGCGATTCATGAAAGCAGGAGATGGCAAACCGCCAGTGATGGCTCTCCAACACCGAAAAATTCTGCACAAGATCATTTCATTTAGTTTTTACATTCATATATTTTATACTGCACAAAATTATATAAAAAGTTTCGCATTTTTGTAATCATTAATTTAAAAGTAACTTAAATTTTAAAAATAGTTTTAGTTTCTAAAGTATTTCAATCATTTTGATATATTTTGTTGATTTTAAAAATAAGTTGTATATTATAGTGCACTGTATAGCAAGACGAGTGCATACATAATAACTATAATGAATGATAGAAATACAAGTTTCCATTTACTGTGCATTAATTTTATAACTTTTAAGCGCATAATTTGTTAAT